CTCTCTCTCTCTCTCTCTCTCTCTCTCTCTCTCTCTGTTGGCTAATGAGGATATGCTCAACTCTCTGCGTCTGTCTTTCTTCTGATATATATATATATATATATAGATGACTCTGCGCACTCCTAACGATATTGGGGAAATTACCGTGGAACTTCGAAGCATGTAACTGAGGATAAAATGAAGGGGAGCGACGGTGGGGGGCTATTTATACTGGTGGGGAGGTGAAGAGAGAGAAAGGCTGGTGAAGTGAAGGGTTACTTCTCGCTTTAGAATCCCTTTCCTTACTCCCCTCCTTTTGTAGCTCATCAATCACAGAGAGCAGACAGAACAGAACAGAACAGAACAGAACAGAATAGAACGGAGAGCGGTGTGCATATATAGCTGTTAATATATGTATATAAAAACAGGGTAGTGGGGTGGGAGAGTGTTTCAGAATAGAAATGGCGGCTGTGGCTGCGCGGTCCCTCTGCCGTCTTCCTGCGTCGCAGGTGCATCCATCATCCATCTCCATGCCATCATTGCTTGCTCACATACCATGCTATGACTTTATGCTAATATGCACGCATACATTCTGGCATTTTTGGCATGATAGATAGATCCACGGTATGATGATGTACATGCATAGCATGGAGGGATGGGTAGTTCAACGGACGAGCGACATAGGAGGCGGCGTGGCACGAAGGGCGCCACTGGCTACGTGGAGACGCCGAGCTCAGCCACGGTTCTGTTGCCACGTGGGCGGCGAGGCGGCGTTTAACGGCGCATCATATAATATCATGATGGAGGGGGAGGGGGAGGGGGAGGGTGGGGCACGTGACAAACCCAGTCAATGATGTGCCAGTGATGGCGGCAGAGCACCGAACGCCATCTGCCACGAGATTGACGGAGGCTCGCTGGCGCTTCCTCGTACTTTGGCGAACCGCAGAGCTTCTTTACGTGTTTGGTGGTTTCCCCATTCCACATGAGCTTTGCCAGTTGGTTGAAGCGGGGTAACGTATGCGGACGCTGTTCCTTCGGCAGCCGTTCGTTGAGGAGGGGTCGAGGGTGGGGTTTGGAATTGATTGCAGGCGTTTCGAGTCAGATGGTGGGGCAATGATTGGGGATGACCTCCCCATCATTTGTTTCTACCCACGCATCCCACCCATTCACCCTACCTTAGTTAACCGCGAGACCAAAGAAGGTAAAAACATTCCGATCCGAGTAGCTTAAGGGTTAGTCAAGTATGGATTTGGGTAAGGTGGTTGCTGCTGCGTCACTGAATTTGTCAGCTCCACCTCGTCTGATCTCCCACGTTCCATATTCCATCGCCAGTTTACCATTTGGATCTTCCTGGTCGGGCCCACCTATTTGTTTCTTGTGCTGTGTCTTTTGGCTTTCTTCCCCCTCCCCCTCCCCACCCTACCCTTCGCCTTCTCGCCTTTTTCTTGTCCTGGCGTAGGGTCCGTCGACGTACCAAATTCCGTCCGCGGAAATGATATGTGAACAAGATGAGCCACATCCTTCAACCTAATCATATCTAATCTCTCACCTGTCTGAGCTCCACGAGCATCGTTCGATGGTCGAGTCCTCTCGATGTGCTCAGAGATGCCATCAATCCCCAAATTTCGATTCACAATCTAAATCAGGTCCAATTCGGATCGGTCGATCTGCTTCGATCCCAATCTAAGACTGGCCCTACCCTCGTAACTCAACTTAGCAGTCAAAGCTCCAAGTCAAATCAGGTTGGACTCACATCGGCATCATTTTTTGGATAAAGATCAAAGAGCCATCGGAGTCATATATCTTGATAAGGGTAAAAATGATGACGTAATGCGCCCTAACGTCAGTCATACCTGGACGACACACTGCCCGAGGAAGGGGACATTAACGCCGACTTGATATGCGCCAGCATCACCCGCTTCCAGTCAACGACTCCACCGTCTGACCCCGCGAGCTCAGCCGAGGTAGAGGGGGACGTCGACCGAGGCTCGCCCATACCCTGCGGTAGCCGGTTCTCCACGCAATCCCAGTGGCAATGCCAGACACTATCGGAGGTACGATCCTGCTCCTGCAGACAGTCACATCAGGTAACATCAAACTCATCTATAAATACCCCAGAGTTCTAAACGAAAAAGGGGAAAAAAAAGACAGACACAACACATATAGAGGCACTCCCTCTTCCAAAACCCCCTCTACGTCACTGACTTGATCGTCGGAGGGGTCGGGCCGAACTTCCGACCCAACCTGTGTGCAGGTGTAAGACGACGTCGCCTCTTCCCGACGCTGCAGCAAAGCTCTCCACCCGACGCGACATCCCGACCTGACCACCGTGCCCGATCGCCGAGAGACCTCGAGGGTCGTCACGCAAGACCCCCGCCATTCGGACCCCCGAACAAGCTGCGTCGGCCCCGAGGCCACGGCTAGAAAAGTTGTTTACACCAACATATCTTGTCACAAATGTTTGGATGGATGGATGGATGATACCACACAGCCGACGCATTGATTTAGGGCAATAAGAATATCCATTAAGATGGGAATTTGCAACGGTCTAATTGGCCTTGGGGGTATGTCGTTCATCGACATCCAGTTCATCATTTTGCATCCGCCACCACCTTCTGCTTTCGGTGCATCATTTTGCATGGTTTACAATGTCATCGTCGGGAAAGTTACCCTTCTTTCCGGTCCGGAAAACGAGATGAAGACATGGTGAGAGCAGTGAGAGACGATCGAGGACCACAACAACATCACATCTGCAAAAACCAAGTAAACGGCATGGTGTTTCCACCATGTGAGGTTAGCCAAGCGAGGGGGAGTTGTTCCTCGTGCTAGCTCATGTTCTCCGACCAGAAGACCGCAGCGGCGGATCTGTCGCTACCTGTCTCGGTTTCTCCGAGAAACCTGATCGACCGAAGCTGTGATCCGGCGCCAGTCCGACCGGTGGCGACCATTACAGGACGCAGCAGGTCATTATTGCTGAAATATTCAGAGACACAGCCAGCTTAATCTAGTGTCGAAGCCATGGCTAATCACATGCAAGTGAAGGACGACAAGAAGACAGCGGTCTCCATAATATTCGCGTCCACCGGATTCTGTCGCCCTCCGCCGGCACCAGCGTCGTGCTTCGAAGACCGTGAACCGACGAACGACACGCGGAACCACCAACCAGCTCCACATGTCTTGTGCGACTCTAAATTCTGATACGTGAATATAATATGATGCCGATGGCTGTGAAGCAGTGGCCATGGCAAGTGAGGCCAGCAAAGCTGCGGCAATTGGACCGCTACGGGTTGCTCAGCACCTGCGAGGTATGGAACATGTGAGGATTCGAGATTCAGAGGAGACGAGTTGACCAGGGAAAGGGTTAACAAAAGGGTGGTGGAGTGGCTCGAGAAGATTCTGGTGTTTGTTTAAGGTTGGAGGAGATGTGTCTCTCTCTCTGCTGTTCCTTCTCCCTCTCACTTGGCAAAAAAAAAAAGAGAAAATGGGGCACCAATGATTTAAACCTTCAGCGACTGTTGCAAGGTTTCAGATGTCAGCGATGTCTTTGGCTGTTTCTCGGCACGGAGACCCCCACCAATTACTGCAGTTCTTGTAGGCTTGTAGCTCATGCGGCCGAGGTGGGATTCGGACAAAATGTGCTTCCTTCATCTCTGCATCAGTTTTCCAGTGGATGTGGATGGCTTTGGTCTGTGGTCTGGTCTGCCTCGGAGAATGGTAGGTCTGGTGCTTATGGAGCAAGAGATGTTTGGACCATGCATGATACGTCTCCCAGGAAGCACGGATTTTGCAGCTCGATGCATCTGTCTCACCGATTCGATCTAGCGCATACAGTAGATCGTAAGCATCGACCGAGTAATTATAATGACACGGAAAGAAAAAGACAGGAGTTGGTGCGCCCAACTCGAGGATAAGATTAACTCGAGCAGATCATAATTTCTTCGTGTACTCATCCTTGATCACATTACATGAAACTCCAAGCAACAACAGGAAAACATGTCTACGGACTCTGACATTCTATGAGTGGGACAAAGAGCATCTCGACTTGGAGCCAACGATTTCGAACACCTTGACAACCTCTTGAGAGTGACGGACTGCAGGATAATACTCTTGTTGCTTCTGCTACACAGTTTTCATCCGGAAGAGAGTTTGGTAATGTCTTCTTGCTTCTCTTCTTATCTCTCTGCAGGTAATTTGTGCTTTCGGATTAGCATAGTGAGTGAGTACTTCAAACATCCATCTCGATCCAAAAATTTCCTTCCCTAGCTAGTATCGGAAATATTGTGGTGTGGTAATCTCTTAACTTGCGACTTGTAATTGAACTCTCAGCAGCCTCGCTCTATTATTTTAGTCATGTTTATGTCCTGGTGGGTCACCACGAGTAGCTTTCCTGCAACAATCATTGTAGCTTGTCAACGTTTCTGAGGAAACATGGCATGGTATAAAAAGCCAACACAAAGGACTGTGATGTCCCACCTGTCTGTCGCATGGTCCCATTAATTAGTAGCTTGATTTCAACTTCTATTTTTTGCAGCATCATGATATTTAAGCGTTGAATTCTCCACGGCACCCATCGTAGTCTGGTGCTTGATCACACTTGTACGTCTACCCATCCCCCCAAAATTGCCTTCATCAAAGTCTGCTCGATGTCAGCGTCCAATCTTATGTTCCCCCTTCACATCCTGTCCATTTCCTTTCCGCAGGCTTTGAAGGGCTTATCTTGAGACACTGCAGCAAATGGTAAAACTGTTGGCATCATCAGAGGGCAAGTACACAAAGATCCTCCTCGACTGACTCGGAAGCGCGAAAACCGCACCTCTCTCGCTGGTTTCTGTGCGGAGGGGCAATCCCTACGCCGGGAAGAGGAGATCGGACAAGGTGAGCCAGCTCTCCATGGCCGAAAAGTAGAAGCACCGGAGGGAAGGAAGAACGGGCAGCGTGGCCAACTTGTCAAAAGCCCAGCTTGCAATCAACCACAACAATCCACTGGCTCCCAACTCCACAACCTTGAAGTGCAGCGTGACAGCTTGGGATAAGAACAAAACCAATGCCAATGGTAGCTCGAGAACACCATCATGCATGTCACCATCAGATGACGACTACATGTCATGCAAACAAACCATCATCATCAGCCATCCATCCTTCCAATTTTTCACACAGGTGCGGCCGTGGGCTAAAGCTTTTTTGTCTTGCTTTGGATCAATATATCTCTCTGAGCTCTGGATGATCACGGTGGTGGTGATGACAAGTGTGCAGTGGCCGTGAGAGCGAGCTTCGGGGGGATGCAAATTTGTCTCGTGTTGATGACCGGCAACAGGCAGACCACGCAACATCTAATCATTAAGTCTCTATTTCTTTGTCTCTTTGGTGCAGTGACTGCGGCGGGGTCCGGTGGACACTTGGTAGGTCTCCTCTCAAATCCTGCATGGTGATAAGACATGAGTCGGCAGGCATATTGCATTTCTATCCGCAATCGTCCGTTCGTTCTGTGGCCTTCCCTTCTCTCTGCAAGTATGACCTACAATTTTTTATCCTTTTAATGCATGCATATTGAGAAGAAAGATCATCACCAGCTTGTCCACTTGTGAGTCTCGATGTGCATCACTCCTTACTATTCTATCTTCCCGATCGATACATCAACAATCATCAAGCATAAGAAAATGACGCATCACCATCAGCTCCGCTTCTAAGTTTGTAACCTTCTTTTCTCTATGCCCAGACTCAGGAGGAACTGGAAGAAGATGCAGGAAACTTCTAATCGGTGCTGTGAGCTTGAATCTTCTGCTGCAGAGATTTAAGTAAGTTGGAAGGATATTTATTATTATTATTATTATTATTATTATTATTATTATAGTAAGGGATAAATTGAGATGATGGTCATAGATTGAAGATATTTCAAATCAGAGTGTGGGTGCTACTTGATCAAAGAAGAAGAAGAAGACATCCATCTCATGAGACTTACCGAAAATGACAGCTTAATCCGAGCGGCTGGGGAAGGGAACATGAACGTGCAACCGAGCACTGACTTCACTATTTTGACAAGCTAATTTCATCAGCGTCGAGAGAGGGACACTTGGACATTATTTGCATCAGGAATGATGTGATGATAAGGATGGATGAACAACAGGACGCTATCGAAGCTATGCAAAACTCACTATCAAGTTGAATTTGAGAGGGAAGAAAAATATCATCGACTCCGTGGCAGGAACTAATGCTTATGGATTGCATTGAGCCACCACCTCATATGGGTTCTATCTCGATCATGTGAAATTAACATTTTGACTTGATGCATTGAGCTACTACAATGCATCCACCACATCTCATCTCTTCACAACATGGGCTCTACTGCTTCATAACCCAACCACAAGCCCAGTAAAAGCCTGATAGAAGACTCGGCATGCCATCTCTGAACCAACCGATCGATGATGATTTGGGAATTTTAAATCCTACTTAATTCAAAATTGATTTGCTTTATTTGTTGATTGAATAATAATAATAATAAATGGATCCTCCTGAAATATCGACACGTGGGGTTAGAGAGCCATGTAGGATGCTAACGTAACACGATACGTTACAGCTTCGCTTGACTCGATTGCCACATCACCGTTAAATAAGAACATGACTAGCTTTGATCGAGGTTGAACAGCGTGGGAGCCATAGAAGACGAGCGAGCGGAGCGGGGCTTTCTTCTCTCCATTCTATGGTACGTAGTACGTGACAGCAGCGTTTCTTTATGTACAGGCGGCCAACGCAACCGAGAAGAGAAGGCGGGGAGCGGCGGCGCGATGGACCGAATCACAAGTTGCGACAGAGGCAACAAGGAGCCCAATCGAAGAGGGAGGGCCAGATGTCGCCGTGCCCTCGCCTCCGCCTCCGCCTCCGCCGCTGGATCGCCCTGCCCGCCGGCGAAGGACGCCGTCCGGTCTCGGAGTCGGCCTTGCGCAGGATCTCCCACATGACGCGCACGTCCTCGTACTCGCACGTCCTCACCTCCTTCCGTAGCTTCTTCAGCCCTGTTCATGGGAGGCGGCAGAGCGTCAGAAGCCCGGATGGATGAATCAGGCCATCCATGGCGCATGGGTGAGAGAACTTACCGGTCCTTTGGACGCCGAGACGGGTGGCGACGCCGATCCACACTCGACGCGCCGGGAACACCACCACCCGCTCCCACCACGCCATCCTAAGTCCCTTCCCCTCTTCTCTTCCTCCGACGAGAGAGAAAGAGAAGAGTTGCCGTCCCTGGTTGTGGAGGAAGCGTCTCTTATTCTGCAGCGAGGTGCACGGGCGAAAGAACGCGTGATCAGCGTCGTCGACAGCCCCCGCGACGCGGGCTTGGGAAGTGGCGTCGTCCGCACGCGTCGATGCTCCAGTGGGCGGGGGGATGTTTCTCGACTTCCTTTGAATTCTGCACGCCATCTGTTTGCGTTCGGGCCCAAGTGTCGATGCTCCAGAGCATGGAACGCTCATGAATTCTTATGGACGTGTCTCCGTCTGATGGATTTGTAGGAGATGGATACCCATTGGGTTTGGGTTCGATCCGGATTTGTGAGTGCCACACCCATCACCATCGCTAATGCTGGACTAATTCCTTTTACATAAAGGTAAAATTACAAATATCTTCCATACTAAGTTATCCACCGTTGGATCCATCATTTTTGCGGTGTTGTACGCTTCTAAACACCGGAATGGTCATTACGCTAACTCGGTGGGACATACGTGTGACCCCACAGCTGGGTACCCCTCCTTACTCTGGGTAGGTTTCTGAGGGTTGGCGGACGGGTAGTGAGTATGGAAAGGCAGGTAGATTTGGATCTGTCAAGATGGCTCGTTTCATTTAACCCGCTTGAGACTTCATGTCTCTGGTGACATGAAGCTGTAGTTAGGTCTGAGAGGCGAGATGAAGATGAGGGAGTGTGAATAAGAGATGCGCTTGATCGCCATTTCCTCGTCGCCGACCTCTTGGCGGTGGCGCTCCTAGCCCTCTCCGAAGGGCTGGCCTCCGCCTCCGCCCCTGCCGCTTCCGTCGTTGGTCGTCGATCCTCGTGTCCAGATCAAGGTCCGCGAGGTCGGCAACCGGACCGCCATGTCCAAGGCGAAACCGATGTCGGCGTCGTCCAGCTCAAGGAGTACTGGGATTACGAGTCCATACAATGAGGTAAGCGAGATTCCCAATCCCTACCCAAATTCTGACCCTAATTCCTTTCTTTCGTGTTTGGGTTTGATAGACTATGTAGCGATGTTGGGGTTACATGAAATGGTTAACTGAACTGCGGTTCATGGAGATTTTTGTTTTTTCCTTCGGTGATGATTTCTTGAGTATAGAGGAAACCTATTTCGTGTGCTTCATATGTAGTTGAATCGATCTGCTGGTTTCTATACTTTGACGTGTTTCTTGGATGATTGTTAGTTTCTTGGCGTTTTCATGTTTCAGATTCTTATTCACAGTTGATAACCAGGCCCTGAGAATCTTGGGCTTGTCAAGAAATTCCGAGATATGAGGATATTGGTTCTCGATTTGTAATATATGGATCTCTGCCGCCGTAGTCTCTGTTAGTCTTGATCGGGTTATTGCAGTCCCCACTGTCGGTGGGGCATGTGAGGTTTCGAAGCCTTACCCAATCCCTTGCTCTGATTCGTTTCTTTTTTGTTTGGGCTTCATAGATTATGTAGCGATGCTTGGGTTTACATAAGATGGTAACCTTTTCATTGGATTTCTCTAGCTAAAGATTAAAGTTGCAATGGATTTATATTTTGATGATTTCTTTAGCATTTCACGTACCTACTTTGTATACTTCACATATAGTTCAATCAATCTGTTGGAAGCTATACTTTGGCATGTTTCTTGAATGGTTGTTAGTTTCTTGATGTTTTCATGTCTCAGATTCTTAATTACAATTGATAAGCAGGCCCTGAGAATCTTGGGCTTACCAAGAAATTCCGAAGCATAAGGATCTTGGTTCTTGTTTTGGTGAAGAATTGATTTGTAACGTATAGATCTTTTATGCCTATAATTCTTCATCGAGTTATTGCAGTACCCAATCGGAAACCTTGCCCAAACCATGTACCTAGCTAGTTCCGATCCTTTTTGTTTGGACTTGATAGATCATGTAGCGATGTTGGGGTTAACATCAGATGGTTAACCTTTTCAATAGATCACCTTGGATTTATTTTTTGATGATTTCTTTAGCATTTCACATACCTACTTCTAATACTTCATATTATGGTTGAATCAATCTGATATCTTTCTTTGGATGATTGTTAGTTTCTTGGTGCTTTTATCGTTCGGATTCTTATTTATAGTTGAAAACCAGGCCCCATGAATTTTGGGCTTTTCAAGAAATTCCAGGTTATAAGGATCTTACGTCTTGATTGGACGAAGATTTGGTTTGTATTTCGGGGATGTATGATGCTGCCGTAATGTCTGTTAGTCTTCCTCGAGTTATATTATTAGTCCCCATCGTCCGTAGGGTAAGTGAGACTTGCAAACCTTGCCAAACCCTAACTGTGATCGTTTTCTTCTTTTTTGTATGGGCTTGATGGATTATGTGGTAATGTTGGTGTTATTTGAGATGATTAACCTTTTAATTAATTCTTTCTGCAGTTACATTCTATTCATATTTTGACGATTGCTTTAGTATTTCATGAAATCAACGTATATAGTTTCGAATAATACCATCCCGTATGGGTGGTATATATCGGTCCATATTGGTACGCGGACCACCTGCTACCCGATGATATATATATATATATATCAAACGGTATACCGGTATATAATATCGTATCGTACCGAAAGAATCTCGAAACTTCGGGACGATATGATATTTCAATCTTTGCTGGTATCTATACTTGACATGTTTCTTGGATGATTGTTGGTTTTTTTTTTTTTTTCACGTTCCAGATTCTTATTTACAGTTGATAACCAGGTCCCATGTTTGCTATAGCAACGCCTTTTAGTCTTCATGAAGTCATTATCAGTCTCTCACGCTCCGTCGGTGGTGAGATTCTGAAACCTTACCGGAATCCTAACCTCAATTCCATAGTTGTTTTGGTGTGAGAGATTATGAAGCGATTTTATGAAGTGATATATGAGATGGCTAAGATAAACCATCTTGGATCGTATGGTGATGATTTCTGTAACATTTCCCCAATCTTCTTCAGGTACTTCATGTGAACCAGTTGTATATTTTGGGCTTGCATGTTTCTTGGTATTTCCATGTTTCAGATTTTTCTTTTATTTACAGTTGATAACCAGCCTCTAAGAATTGTGGGCTGACGGAAAAAATGTCTAGATGTAAAGGATCCCGGTTCCCGAAACAAGTTCCTCGTCATGTAAGTTGGTTTGCTAGATTCCAAAACATTTTTATTGAAACCCTAATTTTTAATTTGGTTCCTTTTTGTTTGGGTTTGATACGTTCGGTACGAATGTTGGGTGGGTAATCTTAAGATAGTTGAACTTTTCAAAATAAATTTTCTTTTGCAGATCTAAGAGTTGGATTTATATTGTCATGATTTATTAGCATTTCGTGAACCCATTGTTTGACATGTTTTTGATGCTCAATTTAAGAGATACGGATCCTGTTACCTGATTTGATGAAAAGGTGACAAATTTCTTTTCTTTGTTGCAGTGATCAGGATGACAAATGGGCTTTCAAAATAGTTGGCAGAGGGGGAATGATTTTTTTCAAAGTATTGATTTTTTTTCAATATTGATGTTTTTTTTTTTCCCTTTGGAGGGAATGATTTTAGTTACTGTTAATCTTTGCAAGCCCGCGAAGAAAACAAAAAAACTTTTTAAGTTATTCTGATTCAAAGTATAAAACTTTTCGTGAGTGCATATAAGAGTGATTCTGATTCCTTCATTAGAAATTTATCTCGTAAAATATCTCTTCATTTATTATTGAGTCACTAGATATCTTTCGTGTTTTATCAATCAAGATGTGTTTACCGCATACAAAATATTATTATTTTTTTAATACCGTGTTTATTATCATTTCACATTAAACTATTATTAATATTTAAATGTATTTTATGAATATTAGAAAAATATTTTTATTATGTTTTAAAAGTTCTTACAAGCATGTATTTGTTTTAAGAGTTCTCTTTGAAGACTCCTGCAATTATCAAATAATCTGATTTTAGTTACATATTCATGACAACTCACAATTGTGTCATCGCAACAGCAAAAGTTATCCATTTAAGTAAGTGATTGCTTCCATGACTCGAATCAAGATTAATTGTCATCCACAATCAAAACATGTTGAAATCACTACAAAATCCCATATGATATAACATTCGACACCTTAAGAATGTAAGAATTAGAAAAAATATATGACTTAGGAGCAGCAGGTCACATATGCTTATTTGACATTAATAAACACTCTTAATTAAGTCACACTATCATCATGCTAAGGTGTGACTTAATTAAGAGTGTAAAATAACAAAATTTTATAAAATGTAAAAATAATTCTAAATTACCATATATGCCAAAATAATTCTGAAGACAAAATAAGTCACTAATGCTAATGAGCTCAATGTGTTAATCTTTAATAAGTTATTATTCTATAACAAAAGGTTCAAAGTGAAATTAAAGTTAGTTCATTCCGGTGATTGTTATTAATATATTATTTTTTTTTATTTTTTAGATTAAATCGATGATATTGATGCAATTTATCATATTAGTTTTTAAATGAATAAATGAATATATATATAGTTACTAGTAAACCAAACATGTTCGATTCCATCATGAGAAATTTATCTTATAATCTTATTATTGAGAAAGTGCATCACTAAATATCTTACTAACGTGTTTTATCAATCGAGATGTGTTTACTGTCTAAAAATTATTATTATTATTATTTAATACGTAAAATTACTGTAACAACTATTAATATTTAAATGTATTTTATGAATATTAGAAAATATTTTTATTATGTATTAAAAGTTCTTACAAGGTATGCATTTGTTTTAAAATTTTACTCTTCAAGTAACAACGAACCAGCTAAAATAATTCTATCCAACAATTAACCTTTAATTAGATAATTTTTATCATTTTTATTTTTCTTTCTATAATAGCCAGCTAAATCACAAGTTGGCTATAATACCAGCTATTGCCAGAATTTTCTTTATCAACCAAGTTTAGACTAAAATCCATGTCTAACAAAGGTGACAATGTAAGAAACAATTGCATCGGTGAATAAGTAATAATGCAGAAAAGATTACAAAATATCATAAATTTAAATCTCTCCTATACCAATGGGTTAAATGGACGCTCGAGCGCTCGTCTACGTGCTTGGGCGAGGTAAGGCTTGACTGCCTCAAGGTGGACCAAGCTACGCGCTTCAGTGAGGTGTGGCATGAGCGCTCGCCTGAACCCAGGCGTTGAGTGCCTCAAGCAAGCGTCCGATTTAAATGAAGCAACTAAAACAAAGTTTTACGTTTGGTTTGCCACAGATGTAACGGACCGAGGCTTCCTTTGTCGCCAATGGACAAGTATGACAGCCTAGCCTTCGCCCGCAGCTTCCTTCTACTGTTGCTGTTTCTATGTGCAGCTCCTTCCATTATCGAGGGAGAAGACCATAGCTTCCTCCGCCATCAACGAACACCTTTGAAGCTTCCTCCACCCACGATGTCAACATCTATAGCTTCTACCGTTGTCGCTATTGCCACCCACAACTTTCGCGGCTACCGCTACCGCCATCTGCAGCTTCCTCCACCACAACAATTGTCGTCCGAAAGTTCCACCATCGATAACTTTTTCTCCCCCTCTTAACAGTTCTTTTCTCCCTCTCCAACTACTGTTAACAGTAGTTTAATATCGTATTTTTATTTATATAATCATATTTATCAATTATATTATATATATATTTATATTTTAATATTTCAGAGTGCTTTGCTTTGCTCGGGCAAGCGTTTAGGCGAGCACCTAGCGTCTTGAGCATTTTGGGACCTTGGCGCATAGCGCTTTTTAAATCACTATCCTATACAAAACTGTTAAGCGCATAAGCAAGTAAATATGATAATTTAGGTAAATATTTTAAAACAGAGTAAAATGAAAGAATACTTCATCAAGTAATGAGAAGGGCTTAATAACACTATAACCATCGGAGAAGTTACTCCTATTAAACAAAGGTTCGATAGTGGTTGAAATGAAGACGTCTGAAATAGAAATTCAAGTGTAGCATAATGTGACAAATAGATAGTAAAATTTTGATAAATGCATAATGCAGAATCTCAAATAGCATAATGCGATAAATAGCATAATGTAGAATCTAAAATGTCATGAAGAGTATAAATAATTTTGATCATAATCAGCATTAAGTTGAATTTTTTTATGTCAGACATCCATCAATGAGAATCAATAGGCAATATAAAACAACCACATACAGGAAAAAATATAAAGAGAATAATGGAATAAAGTGCATCACTACAATGAAATATGTTTAAATAATGACATAATATACTTCTCCTATACTAAGAAGCTTAATACCAAATAACTGACATAATAACCTTTCTTTAAAAACAATTAGTCTAAACATTCAGAATCTTGATCTAAAGGTGACGAGCATGCATAACCGTAATTATCCCTACACAGAAAACATTTGTAAAGAGTACCTCATTCTTCGTTTCCATAAAACTCTCTTCAATTTCTCCCTCCATAAAGCCAATGTCCTAAGCCTAAACTTGGCCATCCATACTACTGTCTCACAATGTTATGCTGTGGCAAATTCGGGAAAATACAATGCATGAAGTTTCAATCTCAATACCTAAACCTGAGTATTAGAAAACTACTTAAGTCGTGGAACTCACAATATAAGGACAGTCATTCCTAGCTGCTAAGCATAGGATAAAAGAGAGATCATATATTCCTTGCTAGAAAATTTTATGCTAAAATGTCAATTGAACTGATAGCATTAATACGAAAACAGAAGATTGAACTTAATGCTGGTTGATGAAATTTCTTAATGCAGGTTTAGGCCAAAGCACAAGTGAGGATGCACTAACATAATCACCACATTGTATACATTGCAAATTGCAATCTAAGCTGCAATCTAAGCAGCATCCCTCTGGTCTTTCAGTTCTGCACTTGATGCACCTTAGCTGAAGACATACAAAAATAGTACAAACTTCTGGAAAGTGATTGTTTCCTAAAGCAAATCTTCATCATAGATATAATCTCAGAGGTTATCCTCTGGTCTCATTTGTTCCCTACTTACCAGCAACACTGGCCTGAGAATAACTAAGTCCTACTTAAGTTAGCAGCACTTAGTGGGGCAAATTGCCTTTTGAATTATTTGTCCATGATCTCAAGGAAACTACAAGATCTTTTTAAAAGGAAGTAACCGTCTCATTTGATGCTCCCCTACGAGACTAATCTACTTTTTATAAATCATGCACCGGACAAGTTCTTGTTTCATTGTAGCAACATGTTCAATTTTCTCAGGGCAAACATATTAGCATAATCAATTGAACACACCATCTGGTGACTCATGGAAATATTAAAATGTAAAAGAGAGAAGAATGATGAAGAACTTTTTCAACTTAAAAGAAACCTTACATACAACAAAAGAAAATTCAAAATGGTGCCCACCATCTCAGTGATATGCCACCAAATCCTGTAGATGCTCGATTTATCATCGAAAGTCCTAATGGTGCTATCTATATCTTTTCATCTACTCCTTAGCACATGTAGCGACCAACATGTTCGATACATGCTCTACACCCAATCGTTTTACAAAGTATATTAATTTGTATAACTGGACAACCACCAAGAATTTCAGTACAACTCTTTTTTATTACAAAGTTCTGAATAATTCCATATTTTAAAGCTTGGATATATGCAATAAATTTTCTAATTACAAGAACTTAGATGCAAGGCCCTAATCTTTAACCACATAAAATGCTAAATCAGTAGATGCCTAGTCTTATCCCAGTCAGAAGTTGATCATTGCAAGGAGACGAACAATCAGAATAGATACGCACCCTCCTCACATTTCCCTTGATATATTTAAATACATGTAAAATGGATATCTTTCTCATTCTCTCACCTAAGTATATCATGTATGTTCTGCAAGATATTTGCAATAAAATTGAAGGAGAAAACTACATGTTTATCATAATAAAATTTCAAATGCAAAAGAGAAGAAAGGAGGAGGAAATCAATCAAATTGGTTAGGGTGGTTACCAAAAGCTTGGAAACGGATCAAAGACACAGCCGTTCATTCGATCAGGGCAAGCGACCACCTCGGCTGGGTTCCTGCGTGACAAGAACGGGGACGCCGATCAGAGAGTATAGGAAGAACGCTCTTGCTTTATTTCCATGGAGCGAGTGACCTAAGAAGGGAAGGAAGGGATTCTAGATAGGTGTTTGGGAGAGATCTGGGAAGCGAAGGAGTTCTTGCTAGGATTTCGGCGGCGAGAAGGGATTCGGTTTTCAAGGTGAGAGAGGATTCTTGCAAGGGTTTTCGGGTGAGAAGTAATTCTTGCCTGGGTTTTTGGGGTGAGAAAGATTCTTGCAAAGGAGAGGAGTAACTGAGAAGGACATGAGGAGAAATCTGCTTCGTTATCGAGTTCCAACAGCCACAATAGGGACACGCGGCCACCGTCGAGAGATCCTGCACGACCAGAAAAGAGACACCGATCACAAGGAAGAAGGAGACAAGAAAGAACGAGGGGACCGATCGCAGACGAGAAGAGTTTCTTGGTAGGATTTTAGGGAAGCGAGAAACCTGAGGGGACGAGGCGGAGAACGACGAACAATTCCAGCGAGCAAGAAGACGGCGGGGGCGCGCCACGCAGAAGAAGGCGGCTCTTCCTCGCATCGTTGCAAGCTTCCTTGCAACCTCTCTCCCCGGAAAGCGATGCTCATCCGCGAAGAGGGGGGAACAGAAAAGGGTCAAGGTAGAAGAAGAATGTAGAAGTATCGATTAATTTTCTCTATTTACTTAATATTAAGTAATTTTCTCCATTTTCTGTTTTCAATTTATAAAAAAAATACTACAATATTATTGAAGAATATTAATAATCAACAGAGAGACATGAACTACAATAATATTTATATAAATTTAATATATATGTTAACTACCTTTGAAAACATATATATGTAATTTTTCATATGCTTATATGTATTATATGAAAAGAAAAATTAAAGTGAAAAAACATTGTTTTTAAGGCAGCATCAAATACCACATGAGTAATAATAATAATAATAATAATAATATGATTATTATTATTATTATTTAACATTCACTACAGTAGTAGAGTTTCAAGTTCATACCAATGTGTACAACAAATCACTCCATTATTTAGATGAAGGTTATCAATTGTTATACCTTTAGAAATGTCAAAATAGAAGAAAGAGATGGTGTTTTGGGTCACCTACCAAATAGAATATATTGATTGCCAAGTGACCTTCTCAAAATTGGCTTTGTTTTTTGGGGTCTAAAGATTGATAGATTTGAGCAGGAATTTCAATATATACATACACTGGAGATCATATCAAATGTAATTTTTGAACAGACTGATCTTAGAGAGGCATGCTGCAGAAAAACCAACATCTAAATATCATGTCTGAGTGAGAGGAACCATGGCAGATCCACATAAAAAAGCATTTTGATTTGTTGCAGCAGCAACAAGAAGGAGGGGCAAGAAATGCAGCATATCAATCAGCAGTTTTACAATGAGTTTAGATTACATGGAAATCACTGAACTAGTTCACTTCTCTAGTCTTCAGTCAGAATCTTCGCAGCTTCATGAAGCAATGCAGCATTTATTCTGAAACCGACAAGCTTATGAAGACGATATATAATAATTCCATTTGCACCTCAAAGAACAAAAGTGTTGAATTCCTCCATGGAATGAACATTGCAACTTTGGTGCTCCTCCTAAGTTAGAGGTAGAGGGAGACTGCCAAGAGGGCATCTCTGCCTGCGCGGCCGCCTTGTTATCCTTCCCCATCCGATCATGCTCCTGTCATTAACTCCTACTTCAAAATTACCGGGTTGTGGATGCAGAGGGGGGCTGACGTGAATCTCCTTGATGGTGATGGCCAAACTTCTAGGTTGCCTCCTTCCCTTTGCTCTGCAGGTCATTTGATTCTGACCTTTGGTCCTTCTTGTTAAAGCTGTCTGCCAAGGGCTACCTGTTGCTTGCATCATCACCCCAATGGTTCGAAGATCCTCTGTTATTTCGTGCCTTGACAGTGTTGCTAGCCCTGGCAGGATATCTCTCTGGAAGTCCTTCCGCTGCCTCCTCTTTCGTGCCTGGCCACGCCGAGGCTTTGTGAGAAGCAATGAAGCTAAACCTACATCTCCTTTGTCTTTCTTAACATCTTTGTCATCGAGCTCTTTAGGTCTAGACCAATACTGATCCACCTTAATTTCTTCAAGGGTCAGCGTCATGGCTTCAAAAAGATCAAAATCATCATCATCTGAAGATTTTGTACCACCATCTCCCACATTACCCAGAAGCATTGGATTTTCTGCACTGCATGATACAACTTCCGCAAACCAAGACAAGGTGTCAAATCCAGGCAAACATCCATTGCAATCTATAGAAATAGCAACCAAATTCTCTGCAGCCAATCTAATTAGTGCATCGACAGAGTAGTCCTTTTCCTTTGAACCATCTTTCTCGCTTAATGGGATGTATCTCTGCTTATTTATGATACCCATTTCATACTGGGATATCGGTGCCTCCAAATCAATGTTAGAAGCAATTTTTGCACCAAAGCTTGGTATACAGTGTGATGACTGAACCACTATCTCGCCTTGAGGTAGTTTCACTGAAGATATGGGATAATCTGTACATGCTAACTCAACATTCAGATCAATGTGATTCCTAAAGCTCCGTTTGCACTCCCCATGACATGTTTCAGTGACCGAGTCACCAACATGAATATCTGTCTGCGATTTTAGGACTTTTGGATCACATCCCAAGTCTGTGAAGGTCATGTCATCATTTATCATAATCTTGGTATTGTCAGTTAAATGTTTTTCCATATGTCCAACAGAAACAGACATGTTAATTTGCTGATTTTTATCATGAACAAAAAGACGAAGGATTTTTTCGCCATTGTTTTCAGAAACTTCATTTCCCTGCATCTTGTGATCCTTAAACTGACAACTTGGCATGACTTCCTGCAGATTACAGAGAGAATAATCTAGCTCCTTTTCTACTTTCCTCCCAATGTCTGGAGCAACGGCATCAGATCTGGAATTAAGCTGAGGTTGTCCACTTGAGAAGCTAAAAGCCACTTTGGAGGCATGTTTGTTCAAGCCAACAGACAAATTACAAGATATCTTCTTTCCGAGACAAGATGAACCCACTGACAATTTGTCGTATTTATCCTCAACATCTTCAATACCACTTGGAAATACTTGATTTATGTTCATGTTTGTTGGACTTTTCAAATCTCTGCTTGCAAAACCCTTTACACAGCTTCCAGATGTATAATCATGAAGTCCTTCATTACTATCATCGGTCTGGTCTGGCCCACTAGATACAACTTTTGAATGTAGTACAAAATGAGAATCTGGTCGAAAACCATGGTGAAATCCATTTGTCCGATAGACATCAAAACCAGATTCTTGGCTTGTGGTCAGGTTCCTACCATATTGCCACCATTCACAAGGAATAGGAATCTGAGCATCTACCTTGGAACTCAACATCTCATTACTAGGATTTGATGATCCACTGCAGCATGGAAGTGTTTGAATCGCAAGTGTCTCGTTGCTTATGCTGGTGGCAGGTTTTCTCCAAGATGAAATAAATGAAGATCCATAACTGGTTGAATCGGCCTGGGGAATTGTGATTGAAGAAGGCATTGAAGGAGACATCAGACCTGAATTTGAGCAGGTAAAGTGAGGGGCCCTTACAGGTGCCTGGACATCATGAGTTGACTCTTGTCTAGATCGTATCTCCGGGTTATTACAATCAAATGAAAAACTTCTGCCACATCTCTTAGTGTTCAATTGTAATGCTCTAGATGTTGAGACATCATAATTATAGGATGTCTGATCGAGAAAAAACACAGAGCTCCCATTCCCACCTGTATATTGATAACCAAGAAATAGGATGAGAGGAAAATAAAAGTTCCAAGCAGGCTAACATGTATAACTACCCAAATATTAAATGCAGAAGCTACGCTACCCACAAAAGCACAAAAGCATAGATGGAACAAGCAGACTGATCACAGTTAGATCTATGGTAGTTATAAATAAGGCATGACTTGTGTAGTAACTAAATCTATGTATTTATAAGTTTTTGACTTACATGTTTCTGATGTATGGTTCATAATACATTTAAGAAGTTCATCTATCTTGTATCATGTATAATGTGCTAACTTCATGCATTTAAGAAGTTCCATATATATGTGTTTTTCATATATGGTTCATAATATATCATGAAAATATATTTTGATTCAGAATTATGGCAATAAAAATCAGGGTCTAATAGGGGTTTTAGGCCCAAAGTAGGTACCATATCTTCAAAATTTTATAATTTCTTAATATTCTGCATTTGATATTCTAAAAAGGCAGCAAATCATGAGAATCATGCCTGTGTCGCATTTCCTTTCTCAATTTTCTTCATAGTTGATGAACTTCAAAAAGGACACTGTCCTTGTATTCAAGCAATCAATTTATCATACACAACGATCTTCTTTACCCCAACACTGAAACCAGCATAAAAATAATAGTTGTCATGGCACTCAGATAGATGTTGATGCCATGGATTTGAGTTTTGGGAATTTGGCTCATGCAGTAGTGTGTCAACATGGTACAAGAGGCATGTTTTTATCATTCCAAAGGGTGTGTTGGTGCACCGTTTTACACACTTTCGGCTTTCAGCTGGCAACTTAGGATTTTATCATGCCACCATATCGTAAGCATGTTGTGTACGCACAATAAAAAATATTGGATACAACATATCACCGATAGAAAGTATCCAAACTTCTCCTGTCTCATCTTCCTAGGAATTTAAGGATTGGAATAGAATGCTCCAATAGATATGTACTGCAAATACAGGACACTAGTGTTTATTCATCGCATTTTCATACTGACAGGGATCAAGCTGGTTGATAGTTTTCTTTAGACAACCCTTTAGGCTTACGATGAGCAAGTGTCCAATCAATAAATGAAGATGAGCATCTACTACTGAAATTCATATTGTAACATCATATTTCTTCTTGAGACATGTTTGTAATAGTGACAGTTTAAATAAGACACCTGATTGATAACACGATTGTTTAGGCCATGTCAACAAATATCACTATGTAAACAAGTTTTGGAGATCAAAGAATTACCAGATTCATGACTAGAGAATGGCCATTCTCTTTTTGTGTGTACATTCGCATACAAGAACTCTGAAGTAGCCTGTTGATCACTGTGCCTATCCACAAAAAGTGTATTTGATCTCACCGAAGAATGGTGCCCTTGGCTACATTCACTGTGTGTCTTGAAGCCAAGTAACTGAACAAACGCAGAGTTTTCGTGTCTCTCAAAACACATTTCTGTTGTAGATTTACTTATATCGACTGTGCTGCAGGCTGATACACTGACTTGTGTTGGTGACTTCGACATGTAATGGTCTTCTCCGTGACTACTCGCTAGAGTGAGCTTCACATCATTCTCAGAATAGAGAGAGCAAGTTCCATTCTTGAGAATACTAGAACTACATGATGGCTCAGTGATATTTGTCTGCCCATATTCATCACTATCTTCAATGTCTATATATACATCAGCTGGCAGTTGAAGGTCAAACGTTCTCCTCTTCTGAGACCTGTAGTCTAGTTGCTTGATGCCCTTTGGAGAAGCATCATTTGATAATGGGATATGATCAGATTGAGTGCTGCCTTCCCTTGTAAAATTGACCTGAAGCCTCTCAGTGCCTGCAACAGGTGTCTGTCCATAGCTGGTATTTCCTATGGTAAAGTGAGAAACATCTGACATTCCTCCAGTGCATTCTGTTCGCATTTGAGATAAACAATTTGAGTGTGATGCTTCTGCCACCATAGAAGGCTGATAAAACCTTCTAGTTTGAAACTCATTCATCAAGTCTTTCTGTATTCTATAAAGACGATGAAGTTCAAATACCTGAATCACAAGTGAAACAACTTTTGTTACAGGAAACCGCATGAAAGGCTTGAAGGTAACAAGTCAGACAAATTATGTTTATTGCTTTGCTCTTCAATAGACTATCTTATTTAAAATGCAGTTCACCTGATCCTAAGATGGCATATTCCTTTTTCTATTGCAGTTCTTACTTATTCATGGTGTGCGCATGCACATCTATGGATTCAACCAACAGTGTTAAGCTCAGCTTAGTTCTTCTAGAACAGTCTTGGATAAAGAAAGGAATAGGGGCTACTTCTTCCCAAACACAATTTTGTTTTCCAGATTTTCTAAGGCTAGACTATTTTTGTTTGGACTTTCTCAGCTAGATTTAACTTGTCTAATATTTTGTCAAAAGGCAACAGACACTCTCCTGAAAATTGTGTAATTATTACATAGAATAGTGAAATCTTCAACTAAAACATAACTTAATAGTAACCTGGAAAACATATTTCTTAAAATAAGAAATAACAAACTCACTCTATCCTACTCTGGAACCAAAGCAAACTGTGCAGGAATCCAAACTATTTCTCAGCATGGTAACTCAACTAGGAGATGAAGATTCTCAGCTATAAATCAAGTGAACTACATATGAAACCTGTGCTTCTGGTCCTTATTAGCTTCAGAAATTAAATTGTTCAAGTAACAAAAAAGGCAGAGAATGCACTCTGAGTTTATAAACAGCTATCCAAATAAGAAAGCACCAAACAGGCTCATAATTTACATATTTCAACAGATCTTGAAGAATGATTCAATTTGAAAAGATCATTTTACTGAAACCATTCAAGATGATCTGAAATACAAGTGCTACTTGTAGAAGTCCCGAACTCAAAATAGACTTGTTTAGGTCAATTCTTAATAAACTGGTAAACAAACTGCACTAACTTTAAGTTGAATCATGTAAATGATATTTGTCATAGACTAACATGTCTTTACCAATTATTAAACATCTTAAAAGGTTATAAAAAAATTTAGTTTTACTTGCTCCTCTTTTCTTTTCTACAAGAAATTTGATCAGGATTTCAAAGATACAATAAAATCTCAAAGTTAATTCAGAGTTAGAACTTAGAAGTTACATCTTCCAGCTAAATTCTAATTCAGGGATATATTGAGAAGGATTTTCATGTTCTTGAAATTTTTTTAGTTTAATGTCTTTCATATGACAGAAAAAATGAGAAATATTTGTCTCAAGTTGAAACTCATCATTTAGCATCCTCCAAAATTTCTATTCCCGAGAACATGTGATAAATCTCATATGTGAGGACACTGTCAACTTGTTTCACCTAATCACTTTCACCATGCATAGCTTCAGGAACTTGGATCGACCAAAGTACAAAACAATTGACATGTACTTAAACACCATTTGATACAAACAACAGACTTTGTAGAACTATTTAATTATACAAACAATCAAGCACGGATGAGATGTAATCATAAAGATAAAGATGAAGTGCAAGCCAAACAATCAGACAGTGCTACTCAATCCTGAGGTAATTACCTTCTCAAATGGTTCTTGAGAACTTAAATATCTTTACCTGGTTCCTAAATATGGTGTCATGTTCAAGCATCATCTGCTTTAACATTTCTTTATCCTGCCCTGAGTTTCCATTCACCAGCTTTGGTACGTAACTATCATGGAGATACTCACTTGATTTCTTATCCTGAAAGTAAGTATACCAACCGCTTGTTGCATCCTCCTTAACATCCTGCATGGAACAATATCCTGGAAGGTAATTTTTATTCTGCACTTTTGTTGCCATTCCTGCAAGTTCTAAACTTGGTCAGCAAAGAAAAATAAGAATATGATGCCAAAGGGACTTGGTATATTTTCTTATCCAAGAAAAGTAAAACATGTACAACAAACATTTGAATGTCAAATGGGCTTTCATTTTGCTTAAAGGATATAGTGTAATTCATGTTTAGCATAAAGCAAAAGTCATCCCTACTCCTAAGCAACTTCAGCAGGTGGTTAGAAAGAATAGTAGTTTGCAGGTGAGAAAAGGGGAATGATCAAAATGAATCACCAGTAGCAATACCAGATAGAACCTAATGATGATAAAAATCACTGATGATAGCAATCCAAAGAAGAATATTGATGACAATAATCTAAAGAAAAATAGTGATTATAACAATCTCCTTCATCTTCACCGTTGATGTGCCTAGCTAAAAAAGAGATACTAGACAGAACAAAGAAAATCCACCATAATTGAATACGTTAACTATAGTTCATCTGTGCCTCCAACAACTGTCACCGATATTGTACCAAAACATACGAATGTGCAACACTAGGAAAAAAGTTTTGTTGTACACCTGATGTAAGAATGTGCAATAGACAGGAAAAAGTTATGTCCCTGGTGAAACAATGTACAACAACAACTAGAAAAGTTCCCAAATCAGTAAATTACAGTGTTAAATAAGATCACTAAAAAGATTATCCTACAAGGAAAGCATGAAAACAAGGAAAGGTTGCTATTAGAGATGGAACATAAGAATCCATATCAAAAGTCATATAGTGTGAAGGAATTCAGGGATGAGGTTCTTGAAATCTGTTGACAAGGTCCACATTTTCACAAAAATTATTGGGAGTTCCTTTATACCAAAAGTAATACCTTTAGTACAGATTTTGGCATTGACTTGGGGACCAGGACATGCTGGGATGATCGTGGAAAGCCTGTATGGCTATATTGCAAGCTAAAAAGGACTCCTAAAGCTGATAGGCCAAAGGAGAGTAGTTTAAGATATGCTTTTCGGTAGCGAAAAAAATGGGAGATAGGGAAAATACCAGTCCAGTTAGCAATAGGCTACAGCCACTTGGATGTAATTCCCATCAAATCCTGGATGCAGAATTGTTCATCGGCGCTGCAGCATCCAGCAAGTAAATTATCTGAAGGCTGAACAGAAGAAATATGATTTTCCAAAAGCGGCTACTTCAACACCCACATGACAATGTTCGACTTCACAGCCAAAGTTACTAAATTTGGTCAAAAGCAGGTGCTTGAAGATCATAATCTCAAGAAAGCCCCAGATTGATTGTCTAGTGATGGAGAGACCTAAAAGTGAAAATGCAAGAGAGAGCACTAATCGAATGACAAGGAAAGAAGCTTCTAGTCGAGGATTTCGGAAAGCTGAATACATCCTGAAACTGAGACATGCCAAATCCACCAAAACGTAGAACAAAATCTGGCATGCATCATTATCAGAATCAGAATTAATAATTAGTAAATAGTAAGCACAAAGAAAAGGTTCCTAGAATCACAAAAGAGGTACAACAAGAGTTGCCAATCTTAAGGCCAGCAGTTGAAGATGAAGGAATCCTTGTTCTCAAGTCCAAATTCACCATTTGAAATACCATCAGCAGAACAAATAGCAAATTGGCATAAGGGGAAATCTTTAGGGGCTTGAATGGCAAGAGGGCTTTAAACTCCATGGTGATGAATTGGGATAATCTCACATACTAACAAGCATACATTCTTCGCAAAATTTCCATCAACAAACCATTTCTTCAAACAAGAATTGATCTGAAACATGTGACACAAACTCAAGGGTTTCACAGATTCTATCATAATCCAAATCATGAGACCAAGTAAACAAGATAAGAAAATTTTGACTGATGAACGGAAAAATTACCTCAATCCACATCGCCCCTCCCTCTCATCCATCTCGCGGACATCGCTGCAGCGGATTCAACATCAGAACGCGGAACATCCAAAATCCCAGCGGCCGCGGGCCTTCCGCCATGGAAAAACGCCAACTTCCCAGGTGCCCCACCCGTTTGAGGGCCGGCAACGGCTACAGCGATCCAGGAGACGACAACCCAAGCCAAGGGCCAGTATCGCCACCGCGAACAACGAAGTCTCGGCCAAAAAGGTCCAACTTTTGGTATCAAAAAGAGCTACCGAGAAGAGCCCGGCATCTGGAGTTGGGCATTGGCAGGAGACACAGCTGCAGATCTAAGGACTTAGATCCCCTGGACCACAACGAAAGGGAGAGGAGAGAGATCCGAGATAGAAGAACGCCTCTCACAACAAATGAACGACTGTCTAAGAACAGTGACAGAAGATATGTCAACATCGGGCCTCTCTCTCTCTGTCTATCGCCTTTGATTGGTTCCTTGTACTTTCACTGAGTAGTCTTTCTTGGGTTACGGGAGAAGTATTAAAAATGGGATTTTTATTCGTCTTCTTTGTGCTCAGAGATTCCCTCACTCCTTCCTTTCCCTTTGGGCAGCGGAATGGAAAATGTAAGACAAGACAGAAGGCCAAACACAGCTCCTCCTTCCATTTCAACTCCCTGCACCAGCCTTTTCTCTATCTACCTTTCCTATTGCAAACAGATCAGATCATGAGATGGAAGGTGATCTAGTGCTCTGTTTCTGTGACAAGATCTACTGATGGATTCCCTCATATCTTTGTTGGTTCCTATGTTCTCCCTCAGCTAGCTGACCATTTGTGGTCTGGTTTGGTGTTTGAATACCATATCCAGGAATTAAGAGAAGCAACTGTTTTGGATGACAAGCAGCAGCTTGATAGAACACCCATCATTAAGCTCACTGAGCCCAACCATGATCTAATCCTATGTCCATGTTAGAGTGATCACTTACAGAATTTTTATGGATGAATTATATATTCATCTGATTTGTTCTTTTGTAAAGATTCAACTGGAAAATAATATTTATTATGTTGGACATGGCCAAACTAAAGTATATAAATAAATATATATATATCCAATGTGAGATATCTTAATGTACAATGATGAGAAGCTGTCCCATCTCTCATTCTTTTGTAATGAGAATTAGAAGGTTCCAAGGCCAAGTACTGCATGCTAATAATACAAGACAGCAGATATGAGAAGTGACTTGGAAGCCTAAGATGTCTTCATAGAAGAAAGAACAGTACAAAAATAGGTGTCAAATAAGATGGAAAACTTAGGTGGGATTGTTCTTCATGTGTTGGTCATATGAGATACATGTTTTTCATGTGAAACCTGATCCTATTGTCTGCCATCCATAGATGTACAGCAATCCACACAACTAGAAGAAAAGTGAGGACAGCATCAACAATTCCTTGAATCTGAGTTCAATCAATGTAGCTTTATGATATTGCTGCGCACAAGAACTGCAACTCCTAGAAACGAAGAAAAAGAAGTGACAAGGTTGGGTTTTGGAAGAAAAAAGAAATCCCAAGCTCATCTATGATTGTAATGGACTGAGGAAATATGAAGAAGAACTGAATGATCAATAGCATACAAGAATTGAAGTGTTCTGCCCCAGAAATAAAGCCCTTCTATTGTGTTCATGGATCTGCTCCTGTTAGACACTGTAGATGTTGACTTTTCTTTCTGTCATAGTCCAGATATTTTTGGTGCAAATGTGTGTCATGCACTTCCTCTGTTTCACAAGGTCAATATATACTTCTGATGGGAAGTTTCATACTTACCTTGATTAATCTTTTTTTTTTGTAATTAAAAGGAAAAGCTTCACCAATCAATTACAAAATATTCCATTTCTACATGAGTTCCAAGTGGAAAACAGGTTCTCCATCATGCAAAACATTTCTAGTGTATATCTTTTGTCTGTCATCTTTACAATTATTAGATGGATATTGTTGTTGTTATGCTTCCATGGAACAATTGATCCTATTCTTTTATGTTTATTTTTATCTGGAATTATTATCTACTGCTTCATCATTAGTGCCATAATTGGTGAAACACATGTGCAGATGGAGGATGACACATCTTCCAGTTTCATAGCTTAGCCTTCTCAGGTTCACTGATAAACCTGCTTGGTTTATCAACTAAGCTCAAGTTCTTTCTCTTCCACAGTGATTCAACTCTCTTCTGAGAAGTTGCAGCAGGAAGATGAGTGAGGTGTTGGCTTTGTTGTTTATGGTGACGGCAGCCATTTCAAAGGCGTCTCTCCCTCATAAAAGTTGGAGCACAATTTAGAAATGTGTCCTTTTCCCTGAAGAAGATTCTTTTTAGTTAGCAGAGAATCACTCATCTCATGCTTCTCTATCAGTCTCATCTCAAAGAAAGGAACAAAATCTAATTTAGAACATGAGTTCTCCTATTTAGAAGATTACATGAAAATTTACTGGTTTAATGTGACTCATATACAATGATGTCCCTCACAATATCTGATAACAATGGAAGCAGTATAGCAGCAGCAAGCTTTTGCACCTTTTACTCACTCTTTTTAGATCAGAATTTTCTCATCTTGAGATAGATTGAGATGATAGAGAGAGAGAGTGTGTGTGTGCAGGGAGCCACAATTCCGCATCTAGTGGGAGTGGCATCATTAACATGTCCTTCTTTCTTCACGCGGAAATGCTGCCTTCTTTCCTCTCTTCATTATCGGCTATCCCTCGCGTGTTCGTCGCCGTTGATTACTCATCTCCCTCCCTCTCTCTCTCTCTCTCTCTCTCTCTCTCTCTCTCTCTCTCTCCATCAGGCAGTCAAACTCCATCTTTTTATCCGCCTCTCGAGACTTCGACGGGCTGCTTAATCCAACCCCACTCCTCGAACCTGTAATCTCATGGTCTGGGAAGAGAACGCATGGAAGATTCCTTGCGCTCTGAGATCTGCAGTTTCTTGCGCCCATCACGTTCCTTCATTTGCTATTAGAAAGTAGCAGCAGTAATAATAATAATAATAATAGGATCGGGGAAAGGCAGTACCGCCACATCATGTGCACTTTGTGGGCATTGCCTCCCTGTACAAATCTATAAAGAAGCACCTGCCCTCAGCCACCACCCATGTGCTGCTGTCGCTCTCTGTCATCTCCATTGACTCTTTTTACTCCATCCCCAAAAAGTGAGAGAATTAGCTGTATGCATATATATAAATAGAGAGAGAGAGAAAGGGAGAAAGAGTGTCGTCCTCTTCCTCTTAACCAGATCACATTACAAAGAGAGAGAGAGAGAGAGAGAGAGAGAGAGAGAGAG